GTGTATGTGTGCACGTGCAGGTGTGCATCTGGTGTATGCACGTGTGTGCATGTGTGCTTGCTCATGCATGTGTGTGTGTGCTTGCGTGGTTATGTGTTTGTTCGTATGCCTATACACGTGTACCCGTACCCGTGTGTCCATGTGTGTGTGCGGCTGGCTCTTTTCCCCGGGACTGGGGACCGGATGAGCACTGTGGTGGCCTTGAGGGAAGCTGCTTGGGCGCTTCTGGTTTCTGGAACTTAGAGCCACGCCCAGCGCAGGCCAACACCCCGGGAAACCCGCCCCTCTGGAGGAGGGCTCACGGGACGAGGCATGGCCAGCCCGGCAGCTTTGCAAGGGCAGACCTGGGGGACAGCCTGGTGCTGTGGGAGCCCAGGCCCTAGGTGGTGGGCTGCCTGTGCCCAGACCCGGGGGGAGGAGGGGCTGTGCCCTGATGGGTGAGGCCTGGGGTGTGGCCCACCCAGCGGCGGTGCAGCTGGAGGCTCGGGGGAAGAGCGGTGGGGCCTGGCTGTGGGTGGAATATTCCAGAAGCAGTGCTGGGGGTTGGGTCCGAGGAGCTGCTTTCCCTGTGGGGCTTGGATCTGGAATTTTAAACCCAATGGATTTGCTACTTAGCCGCTGGTGCTAAGGAAGGCAAGGCAGGTCCCACGCCGCTGTTCGGCACGCCCAGCGGCCCTTCCTCCAGGGCATGTTATTCCAGATTACATTTACGTTTAACAAGACAGGCCGCCACAGCGAGCCCCCTCCCGCCCCCGCTCCTGGAGTTGAGGATTTTCCGGGGTGCGATTTCCAGCTGCAGAAAGTGGAGGGGCCTCTCGCTTGCTGGTTCGGCCCCTCCCTGGCAGCCTGCCCCCAGGCCTGCATCTTTCATGACGGTAGAAACATGAGCTCCCAAGTGCCCCAGGAGGCCGCAGTGCTGGGCCTGTGGACAAGGGGCTGGGGCTGAGGGGTGCGGGCTTGTCCTGCGGGCCTGGGGAGGGGCCGGCCAGCGGCAGCTGGGGGAGGCCTACTGAGGGAGGGGAGCCTTCTCCCGCCTCCCCCCACCTTGCAGCCCAGGAGAGAGGAGCTTCCTGGAGGCAGGGACCTCTGGGTGGGGCCTGGAGGGCGAGAGGAGTGGCCTGCGACCTGGCTCTGAGGCCCGGCCCGTTCCCAGGCAGAGGCGCAGGGAAGCCTGGACGGGAAGTGCCCCGTGCCGCGTCCCCGAGGCACTGTGGGGACAAACTTCATCACAGATACTGAGTAAAGGGCAGGAGGCAGCTTCCAGAGGGGTGGCCTGGGGGCCGCGAGGGTGTCGTGTGTGCGCATTCAGCTCCCGAGGCTCCAGGTGTTTACATCAATCATGTGGTTCAAAATTGTTTGTAAAAATAAAAATTGAAGAAGCAGCTGAGTTCAACTGTAGCCCCGCTTTGGTAGGCGTCTGGGTGAGCGTGCGGGGACCTGGACCGTCCCAGCAGGACGTGGCCTGCACCCGGGGGCGGCAGGCAGGCAGGGGCACCGGCGGGCGCGCAGGGAAGGCACCAGGGGGCCCCACCCCGGGCAGGATGGAGGCATTCTCGTCGCAAACCAGTGTGTGTGCTGAGGCCGTGGCTCCCCCAGGACCTGAATCCCGGGGTGGGTCCTGCAGGCCCCGCCAAGCCCCACACCCCTGCTGGTCCCAGGCTGACTACCGCTTCCCCGCAGCCATCCCGCTGGGGCCGGAGCCGGCCCATCAACGTGAACCATTACGCTAACAAGAAGAGCGCAGCTGAGAGCATGCTGGACATCGCGCTGCTGATGGCCAACGCCTCCCAGCTGAAGGCCATCATCGAGCAGGGCCCCGCCTCCACCTTCTTCGTCCCCCTGGTGGTCCTCATCTCCATCTCCCTCCTGCTGCAGATTGGTGTGGGCGTGCTGCTCATCTTCCTTGGTGTGAGCCTGGGCGGGGCCCCATGGGGGGAGGGCCCTGGGGCGGCCCCGCCCATGATCTGCTGGTTCTGCTTGCATACCCCCCGGGACAGGGTGCTCACCACCCGACAGGCCCCCATCAGCCATGCAGTCAGGATGTGGCTCCCCAGTGCGGCCCTCAGAGGGCCCCCCCATGTCTCTGCCCTTCCACCCACCCAAGCTGAGGATATAGAACAACGTAACCCTCCAGTGGTCTCCAGGGACTGGATGGTGGTCCTGCCCCCGAGCTGAGGGTCAGGGCTCACCTCCACTGCTGGCTGTGTGACCTGGGGCAGGTACTTGACCCCGCAGGCCTCAGTTCCCCCACTCATAACGTGGGCGTAAGGACAGGGCCTTGGGTAGGCTTGAAGATCGCTAGACATCGCGCACGGGCACTCAGAACGGGGCTTCCCTGTGTGCACTCAGCGCGTTGTGCTTACAGTCCAGACCTGCGCCCCGGGTTGGCTCTTCGGCTCCGGCACCGGGCCACTCTGAGCTCCGTGCGTGGAGGAAGCAGGGCTGCAGGGCTGAGGCCACAGGCCCAGATCTCACCCCAAACGAGGCAGTGGGCCCAAGGGCTGCAGGGCCCCCGTGCAGTGTCTGCTCCCTTGTGCCCGCAGTTAGGTACGACCTCAACAATCCTGCCAAGCACGCCAAGCTGGACTTCCTCAACAACCTGGCCACCGGCCTGGTTTTCGTCATTGTCGTGGTCAATATCTTCATCACTGCCTTCGGCATCCAGAAGCCTGTGATGGACGTGGCTCCGCGGCAGTAGGGTTCAGGTGAGCCAGAAGGGCACGGCCCCTGCTGTCCACCGTGAGCAGACTTTGTGCCCAGCGTCTATCCTGTCTGGGCCTCATAGGGTGGGCATGCCTGGCCAAGTGCCCCCCATGCTCGTCCCCTGTCCTTGCTCAGAGAGGTGAGCACCCACCCAAGGTCACCTACTTGGGAGCAGGAGTTGCAGGGAGGCTGGGTGACCCCCGGGTGTCTCAAGGGCCAATGCAGAAGGTCAGCAGGTCCAGCGCGTCAGGTGTCCTGCATCTGGGGCCCTGGCCCGGGCTGCTCACCGCAGGTGCATCCGGCCTTGGGCCTGCCCCAGAGAAAGGGTGGGCACTGCTAGCCGTCTGCCCACCAGCACCCCCACCCCACCCCGGCAGATGATGAGGTGGGACCCTCAGCAGGGCCGGCACGTGGCCTGGCTGGGAGTGTCCGTTCTGCCCACACCATGGCCGTCGGCCCCACCTGGGGTTCCACTCACTGCCTGGCTGCTGGCCCTGGTTTATTGTCAAGTCCGACCCCCGTGGAACCTTCTGGATGCCAGCCTGCTCCCTTGCTCGGGGCATGGTGACCAAGCCATTTATTAATTGCCTGCTGTGTGCCCCAGACGCAGTCTGACCCTCCCTGATCATCAACCCACCGGCCTCTGCTCTCCAAGGCCCCCCTTTAAATCCTGACAGTGACCCGACCAGGGAAACTGAGGCTTGCCCAGGTCAGAATCGGGCCCTTCCACCTCTGGAGTTGTCGCGGGCTCGGGGCTCGAGTCTGGCCGCCAGAGCGGGACTGGAGGCCCTCACACCCCTCCTCTCCCTTCTTGGCAGATGTCCCCGGATCGCACCCGGCCATAGCCACCCAGATCCCGGAGCCACCTGCCCCCTGAGGCCCACCTCCCAGTGGGGGGCACTCCCGGCAACCGCAAGAGCCCAGGCGGGCCCCACTAGACTGTGTCCTGGGATGAGCCGCCCCGTGGCTAGGCCACCCCAGGCCAGCGCGGGCCCTGCTCCGTCCTCGGCTGCCCCTCCCCCTGGAGCGTGCCCCAGGGGACAGAAGTGGGGAAGGGTCGTGGCTGCCACAGACACACAGCAGCCCAAGGATGGGGGTGAGGGGCCCCTGTTGGCCTTGGTCCCAGGACGTATCCGGAGGGACAAGGAGACCCCCGCCTCTACCAGTGCAACGAGCATCTGGGCTTTGAGGCCCCACACTGGGGACCCATGGCATCTGTGCTTCCTGACCCAGGACGCGGGACTGCTGGCCCCAGCTGCCCACAGGCCCTGCACACGCCTTCCACCAGCAGGGCCCCGAGCCCCCACATTTCTAAGCACCAACAACCAATAAAGCTGACGCGCCTCCTCCCCTCTCGGGCCTGGCCCTGCGTTATGTCCCCAGGCCCCCCAGCCTGTGAGGGCCTCCCCACCCCGCCGGGCCGTCGTGGGGTCACAGTCCCAACCATGGGCGCCTTCTCGGGGACCGAGGGCTCACGCAGCTCCTTGGCGTCTGGCATGTCAGGGCACAGTTTTGAGGCAGAAACCGGGTTCTTGAAGCTCCGGTGCCTGGCATCTTTTTTTAATTGAGATGCACATTAGAGCTGCAGAAATGGCTCATCCCGTAGCCCCAGGATGACACCGCGCGTCCTTGTTCGATCTGTGAGGGGCAGCCACGGCCTGCAGCCCTGGAAGGGTTCTCCAGGGTGGCCGTGGCTCCCGTGAGGGACAGCACGCAGCACCGACTGCCAGAAGGGTCCGTGGGCGCCTCCGAGGTTGCCGACACGACCACACACAATGACCAGGTCGGAAAACCAGCCCGATCCAGCACTCTGGTCTACACTGCAGACCTGTGCGTGCGTTGTCAGGCAGCCGTGGACTCATAAGCAGGATAAACCCTGCATACCCCACCCCCAGCTCCGGCTCCGGGGCGCAGGGGGGCACGTTCAGGAGGACTGGCCCCGGGTGCTGTGTCACGGCCACAGGAGGTCTACGGGTCCCCCATCAACTTTGGTGGCTTTTGGGGTCAGAAGCCAAGACCCGGACCCTCCTCTGAAGAGGTCGGTGTGCAGGATGACCTTGGGGAGCAGCCAGATGTCACTCCCACGTGTTGTCAGGGCACGTGGCCCACAACCCATGACCTCATGGAAAGTTACGGCACTCAGGTTTCCTTCAGTCTGCATGCCCATGGGTCTCCCCTCTGCACCCGCAGCTCTGGCCCATGTGGGGTGCCCAGCGCTGCTGGTCAGGGACGCCAGCTGGGCAGATACCAGCAAGGGCTTGTCCCCACGGGTCCCCTTGCTGGCTGGAACCCCCTGCTCTCTCAGTCCACCCCTGCAGCCTCCAGGGGCTGAGCCCTTGCTCTCTGCCCCCTTGGCCCCTCTTTCTCGACCCCCACTGGCCCCACCCCTCACATCCTTGATGTGGCAACACCCTCACCTGGTCTTCCGGGTGGGGTACCTTCCAGCTCCAAGGCCCTCTGCCATCTGAACCTAGGGCAGCTCCAACACCCCATTCCTTAAAATGATCAGGTGACCCCTGGTCAGCTCCCACAAAGTGATCAATAAACAGAAGTGCTTGTGGGTAAGATGGGCCAGGCTTTGCTTTAAGACACTCCAGGAAAGGGGCGCCTGGGAGGCTCAGTCGTTTGAGCGTCCAACTCTTGATTTCGGCTCAGGTCATGGTCTCAGGGTCGTGGGACTGAGTCCCGTGGCAGGCTCCACACTGGGCACAAAGTCTGCTTGGGATTTTCTCTCTCCCTCTCTCTCTGCCCCCCCCCCCCAAATCAAACAAAACACTCCAAGAAAAAGCTTGGGGAAATGGATGAAACAAGGTGGAGAAGTGCTGGACCGCACGGGCCCCAGGGCAGCCCTCTGCTCCGGCGAGCAGCTCCAAGTCCTGCAAAGAGGGTTTGTAAAGGTGATCCATGTGTGGGACAAGGTCCGGGAAGAAGCATGAGGAGCAGGTGGGCAGAGGGTGGACACATGTCTCCAGTAGGGCTGACGAGCATGAGCCCCGCTGAGCAGGGCAGATGCAGGGCTGCACTGCAGCCGGCCCGGGGTCTCAAACTCGGGAATGGCCCTGGGGTGGAGCTTAGCCCAGCCCTCTGGCTGCTGGCTTCCGTAGGCGTGTCTCCCCTTCACTGACTTGGCTTTTGACAGAAAGCGGGGTGGGGGGGCGGGGGGGTCAGGCTCACATCTGTGACCTATCCCCACAACCTGGCCCTCCTGTCGGCCCATCCTGTCTCCCTTGTCCCTCTCTCCCTCGGCCACCCCCCCATGTCCGGGCAGCCTGGTCCCCTGGCCCAGTCCTGCCCAGGGTCTGACGCAGGTGGACGCCGCCCTGCACCACGCCCCTGGGGTTGTGCCCACAGTGGCCTGTGGCCAGTGATGTGGGCTGGCCGGTAGTCACATGGGGAGCGCGAGGGACATGGCCAACAGATGGCCTAGCTCTTCCTTTGACCAGGACAGGAAATATGTCAGCACACGCCACAGGGGTGAACCCCAGATGACTGGACTGAGCCCCAGGGGTCGCCAAGCCAGGCTGGCCTTCACAGGTGCTGGGGGCACTGGGGACAGAGAGATGGTGGGCGGGTCTGTGCGTCCCAGACCCGAGAGTCCGCTGTCCTCAGGCGCCCCCCACCTCCCCACCACCAGCTCCCAGGCCCAAGCCTCGGCAGCCACTCCGGCCCCCTGACCCTTCAGATGTGTTTCCACCTCAGGACCTCGGTATGTGGGCCGATATCCAGGGTCGGGCTCAGCTCTGAGGTCCTCCTGTAGGTCCTTCCAAGCCTCTCCACTGGTCACTGTCACCCTAGGTCATCTGGGTTTACTCTGCCTTTGTGGCATCAGCATCCACGGCGTACCCCCAGGCCCATGTCTGAGCCCTGCCCACCCCTGCCGTGCCTGGCTCAAGGCCAGGGCTGCCCCCAGAGAGGGAGGGTCCTACCTGCCCGGCTCCTGAGGGTCGACGCCACCACCTGTGTCCTGTGTCCTTGGCACCATGTCTGGCATACAGTTGGCGGTCAGTAAATGTCTGCTGCAGACCTACTCACTCGTCCACCTGAGCCAGGCCCTGCGAGTGCGTCAGAAAACTGGGGCCAACGGAGCCCTGCGGGGTGGGGGGTGGGGCGGACCACGGCCCTGCGAGCTAGACAGGGGCCTGAGGGGCCTGAGGGGCCAGGTGTGCTTGCGGAGATGGAGGGCCGCCCGGGGGAGCGAGCGGAGGGCTGTGCTTAACCGGAGAGAGCTGACGGCTGGGCTAGGACGACGGGCTGGTAGGTGAGCGGTGGAGGGTAGGTGACGGACGGTAGGGGTGGACGGGTCATCCCCGGGCCGCGCGGGCAGCGTCCCCACGTGAGGAAGCAGCTCTGCGCTGTAGGCCAAGGCCGCCCGCTGTCTCTCCCAGGAACCTCCTGGGTCTACTCAGGCGGCGGGTCCCCGTCCCTGGCGCTCCTCCCCACTGTCCACCCTTCGAGGCCCTGGCGCCACTGACCTGGGAGAAGGAAGGACTGGGGCAGCTCAGGGGCCCGAGGCAGTGGGGCTGCGTGAGGCTGCGACCAGGTGGGTGCTGTTGGCTCCTCCCCACACCAGGCGGCCAGCCGCCATTGCCTTCCTCCCCTGCTCGGGCGCTTCCTCTCCCACCTGACTTGAATTGAGTTGAATTGAATTCCGCTTTTCTCTAGGATTACTTTTAAAAATCAGGGAGCTAAAGGTTTTGATGTTTTTTTTGTCTTTCTCTCAAGTATTGATGTAAGGGGACGTGTGTGGGGCCTGAGGAAGCTGCCCCAGGGCAGCAGTACCCCCCACACATCCAGCCCAGCCCCTCAGCGGGGGGATGGGGCCTGGCCCCTTCCAGGCAACGTAAGAATCAGGGTCCCAGCTGCCACCTGGCTGGTGCTGAGGGACCTTCATCCCATCTGTGTGACAGTGGGTCCCAGGGCCCATCCCGCAGGAGGCCAATCTAGGGGTTGTCGGGCCTGGTGTTGAACAGAGCTTTTGGGGGGCAGGGGGAAAACCGGACCCTGCTGAGCCCATCGAAGAACGCTGACCCAGGGGAACTGGAGATGACAACCCCGGATCCAGCAGTGTCAGCACCTTCACCCGGTCACTGCACCTGCACTCAGCACCACCCTCTCCCGGGAGGGAGCGCTGTGTTGTGCAAGATGCAGCTGCCATTTCCTGCTCCACAAACACCAGGCTGTGTCCTCACCCGGCCCTAACCACATGGCCCTAACCACATCCGCCCAAGGCAAAGGCATCTAGAGCCCAAAATCCTTCCACCAGGAAACCCCTTCTTCACCAACACTCTCCATCACACCCTCCTCACACCTCCTCAACCTCCTACATTCTCCTCCACCTCCTCAACTTCCTCACACCTCATGTACTCCTCACACCTCCTCATATACTCCTCACACCTCACATCCTCCTCAACCTCCTCGCACCTCCTCATGTACTCCTCATACCTCCTCTCATACTCCTCACACTGCATGTACTCCTCACACCTCCTCATGTACTCCTCACACCTCATGTACTCCTCACACCGCATGTACTCCTCACACCTCCTCATGTACTCCTCACACCGCCTCATGTACTCCTCACACCTCCTCATGTACTCCTCACACCTCATATACTCCTCACACCTCCTCACACTTCCTCACACCTCCTCCCACCTGCTTCCACTGCCTCACACCTCCAACACACTCCTTGCACCCCCTCATATGCTCTTCATGTCTCCTCACACCCTTCTTTCACCTCCTCATATATTCCTCACACGCCCTCACACCCCGTCATATCACACTTCTTCACACCTCCACACACCCTCCTCACACCTCCTCACATGTCATTTCACTCTCCCTAACCATCCTCACACCCCTGTCACGTATCTAATCTTGGGAACCGTTTTCCACCCCAGGCAGCCTCTCCCAGCTCCTGCACTCTTCTCGAGTGCGAATGGATCCCAGTACTATCGTAACCAGG